TGACATGGAAAATTTTAATTATTGAGTTTATATGATCAAAGAGAAGCCTGAGAGGTGAATTCATAAGCGTGTGTAAGAAATAGAAGCTAACAGGCATAGCAAGAACAAGTGCCTTGGAGCAAAAGCCATTCATGTTCAGGAGAATGAAGATGCAGGAATGTTTCTTTGGGTGAAATTAATCATTAGAACTAACTGTTATGAGAAGTGATGAATTCATCTCGTCAAAGATGAGGCAAAGCCAGCCTACTGATACCTGGTTAATTGGGTGAAATACAGAAATCTGTCATAAATAAGATGAGGGAGGATATACTCTGATCCTGCCTTGCCATAAAATCTCTGGTTCTGTGAACTTTGTGGACTCAATTGTGCTTATTTAGAATTGTGCACCTAGCTGTAGTGAATTGAAGGAAGTCAGAGGCAAGGCTTAGAAAGCTAAAAGCAAGAAATATGGTTAAAGAGCAGTTATAATGAGAGATATTAATGTGTTATGTCACCCACAAGTGAGAGGATGAGAAGGGGCTTCATTTAACCTGCTTAAAGTCACCAAAAGGCTTGTAAACCTGCCAGCAGTAAAAATACAATACAAGGAGTCATGGGCTGACATTAATGTTGAGTTTGTTAAGATCCATCTCACACAGCTAAGGCAGCCTGGGAAATCCAGTTTCTGCAGGAGGCCAAATGTGCCAATGCATTTTGGAAGGGCTGGGTAATTTTATATAATTATAGCAACAACAGTACAAGTTATCATGCAAAGGACAGGATGATAGTGTACAGGGGGATAAACAGATGTCTACACAGTCCATCAAGCAATGCCCCCCACACAGACAACTCTGAAGAATGGCTGAAAAGCACCGTGGGCCACTTTACCATTTTGCACTTTGCTGATCCACCAACAAATGATTCCTGACAGTCACAATAGTTCTGAGTGAATGAAAGACCTTATTTAGCATGACAAATCCTGTCATTTTAAAAGGCAGAATGGAGGATGAAGGCAGCTATTCTGCCTCCATCTGAAATTGCTTTTTTTTTACCATGGGGCTGAGTGTTTCTTTTTCCAAATTTACAGCCAGCCTGTACCAGGTTACTTTGGTGCTGACCAAACTCTGGACTTCATGCTGCAAGCACAGACTGGAGATGGGAACAAAAAGGTAAAACAGGTGAAGGCAGGGAGGGCAGTGGCAGCACAGGAGTGGGGTAGGCTGGGTAAAAAGCGACAAACATTCTCTGGTCCTTGCTTTTCCCCTCTCTTTGGCCGGCACTCCTTAGGGTGTGGCCACAGACATGAAAGGGAACAGCACAGGCCATGCCTCTGAAGGGGGCTCTGCATACCCATGCCTTGGCATCCATTAATGCTCAGTCTCTCCCTGCCTTGAGGTGGTGGTGATAGATGGCAAATCTGGCCTCGCTGTTTGGAACCAGGAACTTCCATGGCAGAGGCAACAACTCGATGCGCTCTCAGTCATGACTTTGGACAAGAAGTCTGTTTTTCTCTTCTGGGCTGATGAAACCAAGCCTGTGTTACGAAGTTTGGTAAGCATGCATCTTTTCTTCACTTTGAGGTTTCTCTGTGGAGCACATGCAGTGTCTGTCTCTTATTCCTATTGTCATTGAACTTGAACCTAATATATGAGAAGGCTGTCAGGAACATCTCTTACTTGGACATTCTGACTTCTCTGAGCCTGAACACAGGAATTTTCGTGTGCAAATTCTTCATTGTAAAGCTTTGTTGACAGAAATTTTGCATCCACAAACCCCAAAATTTGTGAATTTCGTTTTTTCATGTAGCACTGAGGAGTTGTACTGCAGATTTGTTCCCAGCTCAGGGTGCTCCTTCTGTCCATGCAGGCACACAGTTTGGCTTTGAGACTCAAACTTCCAGACTGTAGCTTTGCCCATCAAGCTGCATATGACAGAGCTAGATTTCAGCCTTATCAAAGAGAAATTGTAGAGCAAATTCTGTTTTGGGGAAAAAATGGTTTCAGGATTTAATCTTTGTAAAACCACAGGTTTTAATTCTTTGATCCATGTAAAAACAACACAGTGTCAGAAAACTTTATTTTTTTGACAAAACTAGACCCCCCCTTTGCTAACAGTTGTTATGTTTTTGTGTATTTCATTCCAACAGCAGCCTGGTCCCAGACCTGAGCGCCCAGGGCTGCACCACCTCTATCTCCTTCATCCTGTTTTTCCCACAGTCCTTCTGGACCTCACCAATGCAACAGACAAAGTCATTGCTTCAGCGGGTGAGTACAAATGGAGGAGAAACTACCTGGACTAGAAATAGAGAGATGGAAGTAGCTGTGAGAAACAGTGGGCTGCAGTTGTGCCTTTAAAGGGAGACCAAAGGTCCACCACATATAGCATGGCAATGGGAAATAAGATTCATCTTTCTTCTGAAGGAGCATCCTGTCCACCCCCTACTTTGAAAATACAAGACCCACAAAGTTTCTTACATGTTTAAGCAATGGCAGGTTTAATGCATGTTCTATACCAGAGAAATTTTGTTGCTTTCCATGGAGCTATTTTGAATTTCATGCCGTGCATAAAAAATCCCTCTGTGACTTTTCTCTGTCACCTCAGATCCACTTCTGCTTTTGTTGGCCATCTCCTGCTCTTTGGGATAGGAGCTGTTCTACTTCCTCTTTATTCTTGTAAAGGGGAATCAAAATATATAAATGTGTTTTCAGGGAAAAGTATATCTGGATTTAACATCTATACAAGATTGTACAGTCCCTGTTCAACTTTCTTGCTCTTTCTAAAGCCATTCAGCAAATAACCAGCCTCTTGTGCATGGGAGTGTGGGATAAAAGATAGTTCATCCAGAACTAAGAGAAGTAGGCCAGGAAGCATAGAAAAACTGCTGCATAGCAATAACATCTAATTGGACTTGAATCAAAAACACAGTTCAGGCAAGAACAAATAGAATACTGTTGTTACAGGATTTTTTTTAGAAACTAGGATTTCTGAGGTCTGTACAGATCATTCTGCAGTGACTGGAGTCACCTGACTTGCCAGTGCTTTACAAATTTCCAGTTTATATAGAGGTAAAAAATAGCTACTAACAGGTGTGGGAAGGAGATCTGAGAGTGAACTGTGTTCTTGAAACATGCTTATATCCTGTGTCAAGCCCAAAAACATAACCTGGAACCAAACCCTTCCTTTTCTGATCTATATTTCAGTTTCTATCCATGGAAAAAGATTAAAATAATATTCCCTCATCAACTAAGGTACATGGAATTGTGAAGTCAGACTGAATATGCTATCAGTCTCGTGGATATTTTGATTGAGTAAGGGCTATAACATTTCTTTTAGAAGAACCATAATAATTTCCTCCTCACCACTGTTTTCTTGCCCTTTTCTGATGGACCAGTTGGAATTAATGACCTCCAAAAGGATGCATTTCACATCACTGTGACAACAACTGCAACCTCTGAGAAGCAGCCAGGATTTCTGTCGGTCAGCAAGCTGGGCCTGAAGTGGGCCATGATGAGCCAGGGCCAAATGGTGTGGTTAAAGGACAGCAGGGCTCCAAAAATCAGCCGTGGAGAAGTGAGGCGATTTCTGGCCCGGATGAAATTTGCTGACTTTCCTCAGAAGGTGAGATTGTGCAGGAATCCCTTATGAAATCCAGGCCTTTGAAAACATCTGATCTCTTCCCTACAGACACAGTTAAGGTGCTCTTTGGATTGGAAGGAGACTGGTGGGATGCAAAATGACTGTTTGCAAGATGACTTGCTGCCCCTTTGGGCATAAGATGGACAGATTGTGAAGCAAAGATGTACTTAGGCAGTTGAGCACAGCACAGGATCTTAGATAGAAGCAGGGATGATGATCATAAGAGACTGAGAGACTTGCAGAGGGATCAGAGAGGTGGGACTGAGATCACTTGTTTTGACATGAGCAAGCAAGGGTCCTCCATATAGTGGTGCCCAGGTTCTGTTGCTGACTTTACTTCTCCAGACTGGATGATAATCAATTTTGGCTTTAATGTTTGTTTGCATTTCCTTCTTCAGCTCTAGCCTGGTGATTCCTCAGATGTTGGTTGGACCTGTGGCCTGTACTGGGAATATAGGAAGCTGCTCTGTGTATCTTCAGGAAAATGGTTGTGTAGAGGGAATGGGGTCTAAAAGCACTTCCCCTTTCTTCAGCTGTCTGGGGAATGCTGCTGAAGGCAGGTTTGTCCTAGGCAGACCTGTTCTGTAGCAGAGAAACCTTACTCAGCAACTCCCTCTCCGTGTGCTGTTCTTGCATGCTTCCTTCCAGGTAACACAAAAATGTGAATTTAGAGGTTATATACATATATATATAAAATCAGGCTTTATATATATATGTGTTAATTTATACAACGTATGTATATTTTTTGTATGTTTAATTTATGAATGAGATTTAGGACACACCTTTTTATGTCCAGACAGTGTTCCCAAGCAGTCTAACAAGCTCTGTGCCTAGAGTGAGCCATGATGAGTCAATGCAAGTGGTGTGGCTGAAGGACACCCTTATCTTTTTATTTTTGGAGAGAAGCCTCTGGCTTCTGCAGGCTTAGTCTTATCTACGACTTCTCCTGTGCTCTCAGCTCTCTTGTCCATGCTGTTGCCAGACTCAAAAACAAGCTAGTTCTCTGGCCGAATTACCTGATCTAGAGAAAGATGGTCTCCACTGCATCTGCCAGCCCCTTGCACTTGTGTGTTTCTTTCCCAGTTCCAAGTTCAGGACACCAAGTTCACGCATATGTGGGTGGTGTAGAAGCAAAAGGTTCACAGCTTATTTCTCTCCATCCTTAAGGTTTGTATGAACCCACATTTTCACTGTAACATCACACTGCAGTCCAACGGGCAGAATCTCCCTTTGCCAATGTATGACAGCCCCCTTGGGATAGGAGGTCCAGCAGATCCCAAATGTCACTGTAAAGGTCACTCAATCTTGTCACAGAAAAGCTGATTCTTACGCAGCTGCTCCAGGGTTTAGAGGTTCAGAGACAGAACTAGAAAGCTTTTCTGTGCATTTTAACCCTATTCTGAGCTCAGTATTGCCATTCCCTTGCCAGCCCAACCCTGTGTGCAGCTTCAGGAGGAGCAAGCTATCCCTGGCACACATTTGTTCACAGTGTGTTAGGTGTGTCCCGCTCTGTCCCAGAGTGTGCCATTATTCTCTGTTGCATTTGAGCAGCATCTGTATGAATTTTCTTGTAGTAGAAAAGACCATATAAAAGTGAAACAATTTGGTGCCCCGGTAGTTCCCCACCAGTATTTTAGGGCAACAATCCAGGAACTCCTTTCCTAGTATGCCATTCTAAGCCTGGCCTTTGACATTAAACAGAGCCAGGCTGAGATGAGGATTGCAAAGGACTTTTCTGTCTAGCACATGCCCTTCCAGCCTCCCCACATTTCCCCATGAGTTATGAGGTGATAGCAGACTTTGACTCTCCTTTCAGATGGGCACATTAGCCATGGATTTGCTCTGCTGGGCTCTTGACACCTCTCTTTGCTGTATCACCCTTTCCATCATCCCACATTTCTATATAAAGCTTCCAGGATAGCCCTTCAGGTTTAGCTGCAAGCCCCAAGGCTGGTCTTTGGGCCCTGATCTCCTAGTGTCAGAGCTGTGAACAGTTTGTATATGTTTAATGGTATTTTTGTGTAAATAGCTTTGTATATATTAGCACAACTGTAGCAATGGCTCTAGGCCTGGCATTTTCCTCCAGACAGGGTTTAGTGTTTATAGTAGAGCTAGTGTCAGTTAATAGAGCTGCAGAATAGGACTGAAGGTGTGAGGACCAGTAACATATGAGGGATTAAACAGGAGTGTTCCTTCCCTCCTGTCCAGCCACCACCTTGCTGGGAAAGGTGAATCGGCTGTTACCTAAGTAGTTACTTCTGAGATTCTTCCTGAGAGAACTGACATTCAAGAGCAGTGATGTTAGCTCCTCCTTAATGTGAATTCACCCTGCCCACATCCCCACCCCCACCCCCACTGTGAATAAAGAGTCTGTCTGTATATTGTTGGAAAAATGTATTTGAACTGCAGTGAAACAAAATAAATACTGTGTACAGCGTCATGTGTCATGTGAACCAGTGTTTCACCTTTGAGAGATGAGCTTGCTTGGGGTTTTGATTCAGGGGTTGTTTGCAATATTTTTACAATGGACAGAAAGGAACAGATGAATAGAAGTAACATAAAAAGCAAAAGTCCTGCCAAATTCTTAATGGTTACAAAGAAACAGTAAAAAGAGGCAGACAGCAAAGTACCTCAGAATGGGAGATTTCTGGGCAAAAAGCAAGAAGGGAACATGTGGGAGTCATTACAGATAGGAAGGAGGAGGAGATGTCTGAAAGCTATCCCCTATTCCTACTGCAGCAGGACTTTTAATCTGGGGGCAGGGATAAGAGTTTGGGCCTGGAAATTAAGAATAAGCAGGGTGTTCAGAGAGGGTGACAGCTGATCAATATGAACACTGATGGCCTTCACCATAGCACTGAACTGGAGGTGCTGATGGAAGGTCAGTGTGACACCACCCAGCAGTGCAGTTTGCCATCTGGATGGTGCTGACTGTCTGTTCCCCAGTGCAATACTGGAATCAGGACATCTGACTCAACTCTGAAAGTGCTTGGAGACAGCTGGCACCAGCATGTCCCTCCAGTTTCACCCTTGTCAGAAGAGGGCACCCATCACATTGTATATGACCAGGGAGGACCCCCAAACTTCTACTCTAGTTGCCCTGACCCAGTGCCTGCCTCCTCACTCCCTGTAGAGCCTGGAAGAGCTCCCCAAAACCTGCTAACAGTGGTGCCAATGCTTGGTTCAGAGCTCTTGTTCCTCCCAAACCCCACTGCTCAGTCCCTGTACACTCATCTCTAACAGCGATCCTCCCCAATTGTCTGGCCCAAGACTTCATCCAGGTCCAGCTCTGGTTCCCTCTGCAGTATTTTCTGCTGCAGATCAGTGTAGAAGTCGACTCCCTCAGAGACTGAATGGAAGACCTTGCCTTTGGGCTCATAATAGCTGCTTATTTGCTGTATGAAGCACTGGTGGTGCTGAGGGTGATCCTTGAGGGTCCCATCGTATCCCTTGATGTGGTTTCTTTTGAACTCCAGTATCGTCTTGGTGTAGGTATTGAGAGTGGTGACAGCAGAGGCCATGCAGCAGGTGAAGGAGGCCCAGGCCATGCTGCCAGAGACACACAGAAGAAGCACATGCTGTGAAAAGCCATGTAGGGAAAGGAACACCATGACACCCCAATTCTCCCTAGTTTGCCAGGCAGAATTTACTGGGAACAGACATGAGCTAGAGTGACTAAGGCTCATAGCATTACAGTTCTTCAGTTATCCCACCACAAGATTCTTCTTAAATGAGTGGGATAAATATTGGTCATCCCCATGACAGGGACAGGAGTGACACAGGGAAAAGGGCAGCAGCAACATCTGTAACTGGTCAGAGCAAGGGAGCACAGCTTGGAAGCAAGTTCTGTATTGCTGGACTCTCTGTCTTACTGTGCATGAGGCTTGTCTACCTGAGTGTAACCAAATTGCCATCCTGGTATTCATGTCCACGGGTGGCACAGGGCACTGGAGTGTTTGAGAATCAATGTGGTCATCATCGATACAGCATTGAAATTGAACCTGCACTTTCCATGGGCACCTGCAAGGCTCACCCAACTGTTTCTCAGGTCAGGTATGTCATGTCCACTGTGCTTGGCTGCTTTTTCCTTTAGAGAAAGGCACACTGATCCACCTGCTTTTCACAGCTCCTCTTCCTGGCTCACAAGTGACCCTGTGGTGTACTGCCTGCTTTCCCTCCTTCCTGCACATAGTACCTTCTTAAGATGGCCTTGGCCTCCAGTGCAGCTGCCATTATAGGCTGGACCAGCACTGGAGATGATGTGGCTGCTGGTTGGGGGCTGAGCTCTGCCCACATCACTAGGCTTGGTGTTGGTGTTGCAGGAACAGGCCCTTTGGCCCAACACTGGTTAGTGAAGATGCCGAGCCATGCAACTTGTTAAAGCTGCAGAAAAACAAGGTGTGTTTGAGAGCATCATTACAAGTGTGACACTGGCCTCTGCACACAGGGAAGAGTTGAGACCAAACAGGGCAAACCAGCAGAGGGGCAAGCCTAATGAGTCAGCAAGGCTGAAGGCAATTCAGTTCAGGTGTGACCCCATTGTTTTCCCACTCCTTTGGTAACCATTCATTTAAGTAGCTCAGCCACCATTTATTAAAACAGGGTGAGGCAAAGACCACAGATTAATGGTAGGAGAACCTTGGTACACGTGTCCTTGGACACACAGAAGGTCAGGAAAGGAGGAGGAAGCGGGTGGCATGGCTGAAGCTCTAAAGGCTGGGGGTGAAGATGGCCTCAGAGCTCACGTACTAGAATGCCCAGCCGTAGTCCCATGTGTGCGGCCTCCAGTCCTCTGGTCCCAGATTAACTGTTGCCTGGAAGACTTGAGTGTACATCATGTGTGCCACCATCCCAAGGAGACCTGGACACAAAGGACAAAGCAAAGTTACAGTAGGAGCCAGAGCAGCATACTTCAGCCTCGAGTGGAAAAGCAGGCTCTCCAGTGCTGAGATTCCAAGACTACAGTAATACACTTACCTGACAGCACTGAGGAGACAGCAGCAAAGGCATTGAGCTTCATCCCACACACAGGATTGCCAGTGTGCAGAATTTCCACCATCAGGAGGATGAAGCTGATGAGCAGCAAGCTGATGTACAGCATCTCTGATCCCAGTGACAGCCACAGGATTCCTGCCAGGAATACAGCATGCAACCATGTTCAAGGAAGAGTACTCCCCTCTCAACCCAATCCTGAAAGGATGTCCTTTGGATAGAAGGGGACAAAGGAAAACAGCAAACACCCAAAAGCAATCTCCCCAGCCTGTGAGCAAGTGATCAATGGGTGTTGGAGGAGACAGAGTGCATGTCACAGAGGATGGCTCCTCTAGCATGGCAGAGCTGAGGAGATCTAAAATGGCCTCTGTAAACAAGCCAGCACTATTCATAAACAGCAAGGAGGAAAGCAAAGGGAAAAAGACAGGGAAACTGTTGACTGTTAGCATAAAATATAATGGTCATAGATTGGCCATGAACACATCCAAACTCTAATCACAACAAAAACAAACAACTTTTAACCTGGGATTCAACTATTTAAGAACTATGGTGCAGTCATGGTGCATCCATGACTGTCTGGGACATGGCCTCTGGAATTCAGGAAGCCTCTTGCACCCCTGTATTTCTCACTGAAACCTCAATTAAAATGAAAGTATGTTCCTTGGGGTTGATATCCAGCCAGGGCAGTAATACTGACCATCCACCCTGCTCCTTGAACAGAGTGCAGGTACTTCCAGACTGGGATTTCGAGTGGGATTTAAGTGATACCAGAGTCCACAGCTGAGCTGAGTTCTACAGCTGTGCAGCAAGAACTGAAGGAGGATGAAGAAAGGCACTCTGTAATGCTGGGCTGTGGAAAAGCACAGGATCCACTGAGGAAGAAACATTAATCTGACAAATGAAGCAGCACCGTGAACACTACTGTTAGCAACTATTAATGGCTGTAGAGCAGATATTCAGCTGGGAAAAAGGAGTGTGAAGAAAACCCTCATTAATGTGGCACTGACTTGAATACTCAACATCATTAGTGCCATAGAGTCAACCAGCTCTTTAGCAGAAATAGATGAGCTGCATTCCCTGTTTAAAGGAGCTGGCTTGCTTGCTGCAGCACTATCAAGGAGAATATTTCATTAAAGGTCAGACTGTCAAAAGTATTCTGGAGGTTGCAGGCACCACACATACACAGAGACCTCTGCATCATTTTCCTTGTGAGTCCAAGCTTCCCAATGATGATGTGTAATTTGGTCTTGTAATGTTGCCTGTGTACTGCGGAGCTGCTCTGCACATACCCAGCTCAGCCAGCCCATCCCACAGTCAGCAGTCACACCCCCTTGTGCAGTGCTAGCCCGGCCATACAATGGCACCTGCACTGGTCATGTTGAGATTATTATACTTTGTGCAGGAAAGGGTGAAAATGGTGCTTGCAAATCCCCAGCATTTATTACACCCTTGTTTTCAGGGGTTGAGTGCTGTGACAGGATTAGCACCCCAGGCCTTTCCTTTCATATATGAATATCTACTGAAATGACTTGTCTCCAGCCTCCATCTCAGGGAATAGTTAGCAAGCCCACACCAACTGAAAAGCCTTCATTAAGTAGAACCTCCATAGCATATGTACACTTACATCAAACTGTACTGAAGCTATCCACAGGGTGATTTGAAACATGTGAGAATGACAGGAGGGGTGATCTCTTCTACCCAAATGTAGTTTTGTATTTAATGAGGCAGGGACTTCACCTTGAAAGCATAATTTTCAGATGTCCTATTCATTTACCACAAAGTAAGAGGTGATTCAGCTTCCAGATTAATGGTACTAGGCCCCAAAACTGAAGCACTGAGTTAACATGTAGCCTGTGTGGGAGGGGCTGCCCTGAGGCTGCATCCATCCTCTTCCCCTTTACTACAGCAAGATGACAACTCCAGACCTGGCAACTCACTACATGAGAGAAATCCCACCTCATACTGGAGGGAATCTGAGGTTTCCAGCACTGACTTCACAAATGGCAGTGGTTTATGCAAACATCCGGGAGGAAATCTTTAATCTTTTAGCAACCACAAGGACAGGATTTCTTACCTGGCTCTTTGGGGACCCACCCTGCTGTTGTCATACAGGCAAAATACTGCAGGCTCCCTGTCCCTAGGAGGCACACTGTACAGCTACAGTAAAATAGAGGGATTTGCTCTTACCTCTCTCTGCTGGTGGTGAAAGCTCAATAAAGCTGCGGCATTTCTCTTCTGAAACACAAAACCAAAGCTTTGAGTTTATAAAACAATGCAGGGAACACAGGGGAAAAGAAAATCTCTTCATCTCACTCTCTTTTCAGTGCATACATCCATTCATCCCTGAATCTACCCATCAGACCTTCTCACCTCTGGTCTTTTTCTATCTTTCCAGACCTTCACTGAGGCAAAGGATGGGAAGGCAGCATTTTCCTGCAAAACTAGAAATTACCTTTTCAGAAAAAAAAAGCTTCAGCAATTTGTAAATCTTTCTAGCCTCTGTTGAATATAAAAATCTGTTGCTACTCATTCACAACATTACTGATGATCAGGTTTATTAAGGGTGTAGCTTGTAAGAGACTGCAGATCCATCACTTCTGCTGAATTCCCACACAGCCTAATCTCAGAAGAGCATTTCTAGCACTGCTTCTCAAAGAAGAAAGCAAAACCAGAACTTCCCAAGTGAAATACTTGGTGACAGAGATGCAAGTCCCCCTTCTGTGGCAGAGACTCATACAGAAATATGGTCCTTGGTCCTCACATTTTAGACATTCTATTTCAACGAATTGTGTTAATGTTTGCTTTGGCAAACTAGTGTCTCAGCTGAGGGTCCATCATTACTATCTGTAAGCCTCTGTCCCTGCATACTGCATTGCTGCATTTGAGGGTCCTGTCCTCCACTTGGCACAGTATTTTCTCCCTGACTTTTCCGCTTCATGTAAGAATCTAATTTTCTTAATTTCTATCCCCAGTTCTAATCTTTCCAAATCTCCTGTGCTACTTCTGTCATCCACAGCTCTCAGGATGCTACCCAGTTTAGTGCCATCTGCAGTTCTCATTAACTTGCAATTTGCTACTTCACCTAGAACTTTAATGAGGATATTCAGTAATGGCTCATCTAAACTGATCCTGCGATTAGCCTGAAAATGAAATCCTTTCTCCAGCTCAACTCAAACTCCTTTTGTTCAGAGTAGTCCCTTCTCTGTTGTTTTTATTGTCTATGAAGTTGCTTCAAAGATGCACAGTAGTGGGAGGGAGATTTACAGGGAGCAGGAGACTGAGACTGACTGTGCTTCTATCCCATGCTCTCTCCCGAGTTCTGCTGTGATCCAGATGTTGCATACTTTCTCTGTTCCTTCAGGCACTGGGGTTATTCCAGGACTGCCCAGTGAACAGAAAAGTTGTTCAGAGAAATCAGTCGAGGGATGTAGTTTCACTCCCACAAGCATCATGGAAACACAACCCAACCCAAACCAGTCATAAATAAACACATCTCCTTCCACAGCCCTTCTGGAAATGCTCATAACAAAAAGCAGCCCACTTGTGAGGCCATGAGAGTTTCAAGCACATTCCCTTCTGCTCCAACCCCTCCTTCTGTCTGCTTTTCTTCACCAGTTATTTATTTTCAAACTGACAGAAACAGAGATGAAAAATACTGTACTGGAAGGATGGTTTGGTTAAAGAAGGTGAGATGTTTGCACTTGAGCAGAGCTGAAGGGAGGGTGGTGGGCTCAGGGGAATGGCCCTGATGAAAGTGACTTCCATCACTCTATTTTTAGATACAAATCTCTGTGCTGGCCACCTTCTGGGTTAGTTCTGATCTTTGAGGTGTGTGCCAGGCAGTAAAGGGCATCTGAGCACTGCAGAGCACCCACCTGTGCTGGTGTGGCACAGGTTTCAGCAGAAGGACTTGAGCAGGTCTGGGCAGGAACACGTCAAGGGTGAAGGAAAGCACCAAAGGGTTCTAGTACAGGTTCCACAGTCAGTCCCTGGCACTTCAGGATTTACAGTGCCAGTCCCACGTGGTCAAAAATCACTAATGAAACCTGTCACAATATCACAAAAACTAAAAATAATTACAATATTGCAGCTCTAATCCTCAGGTCAATTTACCTCCTAGCTTTAGTTCCTTTGTGTTCAGATCCTCCAGGTTTTTTCTGTATCTATAAGGTAGAAATTCCCTTTCTCTGTTTTATTTATTTGGGGTTTTTTTAGGAAAATCCCAGTCTCTGTTTAATAACACAAAACTACTCAGTTTGATGATTTAATAACACCAACTATTGTAGTCCTTACAGTGATAGCTGAAAATTATCATCTGCATAAAATCACTCTACTTAGATTTCTGAGAGGACATCACAGATTTGCCCTGAAGAGCATGAAGTAAGCTGTGAACAGGAATGGAGATACAGGGAAAGGGAAAGGAGGCTCATGGAAATTCCCATCAGGATGGACAGTGCTATCATAAAGTCACTGCCACCACCACCATCACTTGCACTTCACAGGCCCTATTCCTGACCAAAGGGCACACCAGAGACAGCCACTCTCCACTTCCCTGCTCTGTGAAGGACAGAAATTCCAGTGAAGGACAGAAATATATTGACCCCACCAGTACACAGAGCTGATACCATCTAGGAAGAGGAAGAATACTTTTCTCCCACGTGTTGTCAGCCTTCCATCTTTCAGCTTCAAACTTCTGTGGAGTAAATACAAGGCAATAAGTTGTGGCTGCCTGAGCAAAACATTACCTGGGCCTTCCATGCTCTCTTCACAGGAAAGCCACATCCCTGTGTGGAAGTATCTGAAGGCAAAGCGGTCATCCCCAGTCTCCCAGCTGTAGTGCACTGTGTCCTCAGAGGAAACATTGCTCGTGTCTGCATCGGACGGCATGGGCACACCCACACACTGGGAGGCTTTGTTCTTCCCACACAAAGGCTTGGGTACTTTCTGGGTCCCGGTGCACCAGTAGCTGCCCAGCAAGGCTGTGGTGGAGAGGGTGAGAGCCAGCAGGTTGAGGATGACAGCCAGGAAAGTGCGGCGCAATGGCAGTCCCTTCAGCAGCTCCATCTGCAACACACAAATGGGAGACACCATCACACCGGCCACTTGTCCCACACAGCCTCAGGAATCCCACCCTCTCCCAGCATGCAGCTGTGGGCAGGGATTGTGAGCACTCTGCCCTCCTCACAACACCCCAACAGCTCACTCAGCATGGAAAAACCATTCCCTGAAAGCCAGGGCAGTGGACCTGGTCAGCTTCAACCATATCCAGCAAGGCATTCTGAATATCTATACTGGGGAAGAGAGGGTGACATAGCAGGGCTGAGTGCATTGAGGTGTCTGAGCACATGAGCAAAACGAAAGGAACATCACATTCATCCATCTCAGAGATGACAGGGAGAAACTGTTAACCAACTTCCCTCAATACCATGTGTTGCCTTTACATGAAATACGAATGCTCTCTCCAATTAAATGAGAAATCTTGTTGCCAAGTGTCCCAAAACAGTTTTTCAAGCAGCTTATTACTGTGCCTAGGGAGGCAGAGAGTATAGTGATTTCTCAGTGGGAAAAACGCAGGAAAATGTTCCCAAATAGCTGAAGGTCACACATCAAAGCAATGACTAGCTCAGAGGGAACACCCAGCTATCCAGACCTGGTATCTTAAGTACAAGCCACAGAGCAGCACCTTCCACCTGAGCTCTCATCTGCACATCAGAAATTTGGTAGGATGGTGGGATGGCAGCATCTTTGCTTTCACACAAAGTGCCAAAGGTTTTTTCCCTATAAGGGTGAATGTTGCCGCAAACATTCTTACTGATTTCATATCATCATTTAAAGTAATTCAGAAAGCAATTTGTGAGACTTTCTCGCTCAGAGGGAAGATGAAGACTTTAGGGTTCCCGCAAAACCCTGCACTGACTCTTGAGAACCCCAAAATATCACTCCATAGATTGATTAGATGTCATCTACCCACACATCAACTTTCATGTAATCAATGCATGTCCCTTCCCACGTGGCACTCCCTATGTTTGGCACAACTTCATCCAGCTACTCCCACCCTTTCCTATTTATGACTCTGAAAATCTATTTACCCATGAATAGATTCAGTTTGTACAGACCCTGCCTGCTGCGGGTCCTCTTCACTTAACTTTGGCTGACTCACCCAACGCTGAACGTGTGAGAGAGACCATTCTGTGGACATCACTATAAATAAACAATACAGACCCAGCTTTGCATTGTCTGTGACTGCCCCACACATAAACCAATTAGAACCAATTTTTTCTGCTACCCAGCAAGCTTGGAAACCTGGTTAACAAAGACAGCGCAGAAGCTCCTCTTGAAAAGCAGGACCTTATTAGCATCTCATCACACTGAGAAAGCAGTGTCTGACCCTGAAAACCCTCATTGAAAGCAAGAAAATACTCAGCTCCTGAAATTTTCCTGTGTTCTTTCATACTTTGGCTTCTTTGTCTCTTCAGCAGGACATTTCTTTCTGCACCCTGGAGATGGTAACCTCTCAGTTATAACTAACATGAAAGCCAAAACTAATGGCTTTCATTATTTGAATGCATGTTGAATGTTACCATTTTCACAGAGAAGACGCCTCCTAGGAAGAGTTCCTGGCTAAGATTAGTGGCAAACGTCTCACTAAAAGTTTTTTTGGTGGAAAATTTGGCTTATGACTGAAAAGGAAATTGCAAACAAAACTGCTCTTCTCAAAACCACAGTTTTTCACCTGAAAATTGAAACCTTCAGCACACAAAGTTTTTCAGTTTTTCATCAATGCTTAATTATAAGATTTTCTGTCATCAGGTTTTGGGTTGCTAATGCTTTTATTTAACAAAAAAATTGCACTCACAATATTTACAAAAATCATCTTTCTAATTTAAATCTTCAGTAGTGGGAAAAATATTCTCTCCAGTTGATTTATGACAGTAGTTGAAAGGCCGTATAATTTCAGGAAAAGTGTTAAGGAAAAGACATAAAAAGTACAAGAAACAAATGAGTCAGAAGTAGGAAGTGGATCAAAGATGCAGAAGACATATGGAATGAGAAGCAAATCTGAACTACTTCCTGAAAACATTGTTAGAAAAGCTTCCCTTCACAAAAACCAAGCACTCACTGATAGTAACCAACCATAATGTCTAGATAGCCCCAAAAAGGAATGATAGTTCAATTTACCTTAGCAGCAAGTCCTTGAAGTCCTGTTAATTTGGATGAGCAGCACAGAAGTGGGACTCACGCTTTGTCTGCTGTTTTGTTCATCTCTATATGCCCCAAGAAACCCAACTGCTGCAAAATCCTTCCTCCTTTGTCTGGTCCCCTCCTCCTTCTCCTCGCCAGTGATTATTAAATGCTATCCTTCTGATCAGCAGCTGTTTTGTGGAAAATGGTCATTTTGTAATCCACAATGCAATCGCAGCACAGCTGTTCTGGGAGATTATATGGGAAGCGATTGGTGCAGCGGGTTGGGATTAAGTGCAGAAGAGTGACCTGTATTAACTGAGTAGAAAGTTTCTTTAAAACACTGAAAGATTCCAGCCGTCCCCATGTGGTAGCTATCTGGGGGCTTGTATGGAGGAAGATGGCAGCTTTGGCCAATGCTACAGGGGAGAAGTGACCTTAGCTGGGAAGCTGCCAGCACCCTTGGCATCAGGTCACCCCTTGCACTGTGCCCTGTCTCAGCGCAATGGCAAAGACCAAAATCATCCCAGGATACCTTCCTGGCCACACCCAAGAGTTGCAGAAAGGGCAGAATAAAATAAATGGGGAAAGTTTATGCATCTGCTCTGAGGACTGAGGATTTCAGTGCCTGAAGAGATACCAATACAGTGCTCCCCCATGGGCACTGGAATTTTTGATGCCAAAAGGAGCTCCTTAGCAGAAGAGCTGCTGAGTGGCAGACTGACACCATGGCATCACTACCACAAAGGAGGTGTTTGAAACAGCAGCTAGTCAAGCCAATAGCCAAAGCTTAGGAGAATGAGATAGATTGTCAGTGTCACTTGTAGTGGCAGCTTTTACCAAAATGTGAAGGTCACTGGGAATCCCAGCTGGTTCACATTGGATGAATTTGGGAACTTAGTAAGGATACAGAGATTCACATTGACACAAAGCCCCCTCTGAGCTCTTGTCCTGAAAGTTTAAAGGCTCTCAAAATAACTGTGTGGTATCAAACCCATGAAAAGTAAGAATGTCATCGCGTCTCGTGAGAAAGGACTAGAAGCCATGGAGCAGAGTTGCACCAAATCAAACTGCAAGGGAGGAGAACATCCCAAAGGAAGACACGTCCTGTCTTCCTCACAAGTGCTTTTCCCAATGCCAAGTGGGTGAAGCTTGTACCACCACTGGGAGGGAATGAGGCAGATTCCCTGCATGCTGCTCTGCCAAGACCGAGGACACCAGTGGCGCATCCATTGTCACGCCCTGTGTCCGACACGGAGCGCGGAGGCTGGAGCAGTGCAGGGATAGCTCTGGGCGATGGCACAGCCTGTGACAGCCCCACACAGCATGGGCAGCAGACGGAGGAGGTCACGGGCAGCACATGGGCTGTGCCATGCCGGGCTCCTGACCCTCCCTGCCCTGAGCAGAACGGGCAGTAGCTCTGCGGTTATTTTAATCCAGTCGCTGCATAAACTCCTCTAATGTAGATAAGCGTTTCTAAGACGGACTAACTGAAAGCAATGCTGAATGTCCCTGTGCTCCAGGGACTGCCTGCAGGTTTTTGATTAATAAAAAGGTTCTGTTTGAAACAGATGTACTTAATTTCCTGGAGTAGGTAGAACAACAGCTGATGCCATTTAAAAGGAGAGTGGTTTTTTGCTTTCTTTTTTGCAGTCTATCCACATCTGGACATCTTAAATTTAACTTGTAAATGTTCAGTTAAAAAAAAAAAAAAGAAAAAAAAAACTGGTTTACGAGCTCAAGAATAAATAAAGTCCATCTCTACTGATAACTCTTAACGCCTCCTTAATTTTAAGCTTGGTTACAGTATCATTAAAACCCAAGATTCTTTATCAGTTTCTAAAGCTAAGTTCATGGCATATGTATTGGTGAAATTAAACTGAATTGGTTTAATATGAATAAGAATTCATGTTTGGAAATAAATTGATCAGAAATATACTATGGTTTAAAAAATATGCTTATAGCAGATTTAGTATTCTGAATAATGGCAGATATTTATCCTTCCAGAAGATGGCAATCTTTCTCTAGTCTTCTTTCTGGGACTCTGCTGCTCACATGTATGCTGGGGGAAAGCAACACCGAAGTTTAGACTGCTATTCCTTCCCTTGAAATTCCTCCCCCTGTCCCCTTCTTTTTTTTGTTTTAACATTTTTATGAACACAAACTCTTTACCTTGACTCTGAAATGGGGTGCCGATCTGTCCCTTGGAATTATCTGAGTATGGGAACACTTGAAATCACTGGGAAAAGAAAAAAACCAGGAATGATTGCAGGAGCATGGCTTTTGCTCACCTTCTACCCTGCATGAAACTATTCTTTCCAACACTTTTCACAATATTTTGTCAAGTATCACATTAAATTTCCCCAGATTATTGCACCTAACTCATAGAACACCAACACCAGAGCATGTTTCCTGATGTTCAACAAACTCCCCTTTGCAAAATTATGGGGATTCTATCTGGTTTTGGTTTGGATTTTGGTTGGCTGATTGGTTGGTTGTTTTGTTTTTAAATTTTCTATATTAATCTTACCTCAATCTGGCCTATTATAGAAAGGAAAATCAACTGTATCTGTCTTTCACCCTGCTGTGCCTTCAGTTTTCTCCACTTTGTATCTGATATTTCCCACCATCATTTGGCTTGGCTGGAGTTTTTGCATGCCTCTTTCTCTTTGAACTCAGCAGCAGCCAGTCCCTGGTGACTCGATTAAAATTCGCCCATTGAAGTGAATGCCCATAGCAGTTGATTTCCTGTGCAATCAGCCAAATGGTTGATTTATAGAAACAAAACAAGGAAACAAAATGCAAAAACCCCCAAAATCGTTGCACAGCACCACTGTGGAGATTGCCAACTCTAAAGAAGCCTGGGCGTTGACAAGTGAGTGCATTTTTATCCTGGCTCTATCCCTGGCTTGGGTGTATCTTGCCCCAAAGTGACAAATTCAACTCCCAGGGATGTTGGTGGAAAAGAAGGTCAAGGAGACCTTGCCAGATAGGGCCCAAAACTTGCAGTATTTAACTGGTGGGTCCCAAGAGGCACTGGCCTCCCCACAGCCCCCCATGCAGCGATGCTCCAGGGATATCAGGGACCATTTGCCGTCCTGACAGTGGCTCTTCAGCTGACCTGGAGAGGAAGGGAGAGGAGGAAGGAGGGCTATTTACACCCATGGAGTCGCTCTGTGAAAACTGGACAAAGGCAGGCTCATACTCACCCCTCATTCCACACATTCCTCGCACATGACACTTCCCACCGCTCCTGCTTTTGCCGTTTTTACAGGAAGATCACTCGGAGCCGCAGTCCCCTCCCTTACTGCCGCGCAGAAAGCAGGATGTCTCCCGAGTGACAGTGACATGGAGAGAGCCAGACTTCTCAAACCCAGTGACAGACTGCAAATGCCAGATTTCTCCCTGAGCTCTGAATAATTCCACTCAGATTGTAACCTTTATTTAGCTGTTTGCATGATGCATTAACTCTTGCTCTGAAAATGACCTCACCAGGCATATTTTTTTCTAGTCTAAGCACATTTAAAGGTGAATTCTGTTTCTAAGATGATCAGCTTACATTGCTAGACACTGAGACCGTGGCATAAACAAAGATTGAACGGGACTAAGTAAATGCATCTTAAAGATGGACAAACCAGTCAGTCAGTTTGGACTTAACTACTTTTTTTTTTCCCTTCTTTTTTTTCTCAAAACAAGTCTTAGTTGGCTGGATTTTTTTCCTAATGTTTATGGTTGTCAGACACTCAAAAACCACACAGAAAGCAGACATGAAAAGGAAAAAAAATCAGATGCAGCAACAAAGACTTTGGGGACTCACTAGAGATTCTAGGTGTCTCAATTTCTGGATAGGAAATATAAAACTATATATTATACATAAGGCTAGGTGGTTGCTTTTCACAGAGTACTTAAACTCCAGGATGTGTTCACCAGAGCACACAGAAAAAAAAATAGTATTTATGTAATTTAGCTAACCATAAACTGTAAACAGACAAGAAAACCTCAAATTTACACATAGATCTATAAGGGTATTAAAGAGGTGCCAGTTCAGAAAAGGGTCTGTACAAAACTTCAAGCAGACAAATGCTTACCTTATCCACAGCTCACTATTTCCATCTGCTCTTCTGAGGCATCCAGTGAAATACTACAAGGTGATCATGGATTCACCCCCGTGTCTTTCTGTCTGACTGAACATGTAGTAGCCAAGAAATTCCATAAGATCTGAGCAGACGCTTTGAAATGCACCAAGTCTGTCATTTTATTGATGGTTTAATTCTTTCTGAGCTCGCTAAATCATCACAGCACATTATATCAGCCACTAGATTGGCAGGGCGTCCACTTCTGCAGAATGAGCCTTTGTAATTTGGTAGTCCCCTCTATGAAAATTGCTGCTACTTTTAAATCTACCACTGACAAGATCTCAGTCTGTTACTACTCAGAATCACAAACACTCATACTCAGTGACTACCACAGGCTCCTGGGGCTTTTTATCATCAAGGGGAACCATTGCAACAACATAGTCTCCTCTCAGATGTAACAGAACCCAAGTAACTTTGGATAATCACCTCTAATGATGCACAGAACTCCCACCAGAGCTATAGCACATATTTTATACAACTATCCGGTATTGACTTTTTAGCAGAATATGACGGAGAACCCATCACATCCTTAGAAAAGTTATTCCAATGATTAATTAATCTCATTCTTAAAATTTTAGTCTTGCTCTGTAAACAGTGTCTGCTTTAGTTTTCCAACCTGACCAGGCTGCTCCAACACAAAAATAAATACCCAGTGAAGTGATTTCCTAAAAATGTTATTGTAAGAGTCACAAATCAATGTGTTTCATTAGAGGCACACACTGTGATCTAACCAGCTGGCTGGTGGCCCAAATTCCTAGTTCTGTACTTGGCTCTGACACATCATTTTCCCCTCCCATCGGCCAAGTCATTAGTGGTGCGTTTACACTGCAGTCAAAGCAGTGGCAGTAATGGGGAGTAAACATTCAGTGCTTGTTTTAATTGGGTGTTGCTAGGAATCTCACTCCAGCAGCAGGGAGCACAATGCAGGGTACAAACCTAAGTCCAGGAACAGAGCAAACTCTGCTAAGCTCCACATAGCCATGGCTGGATTGATAGTTCAAAATAGCCCTCGTTTCCACACACTGTAAAGTTGGGTCCTTGGAGTCATTCCTACAGATGCAAATCTACAACACAGGGGATCCTTGTTGATACTGGAATCAGCACAAGGACAGTGGGAGACATTCTGTTTTGGTAATGAAAAAATTTGAGGATCTAAAATTAATCTGTGCAGAGAGTACTTCACACAGATGCAGGTGGTCTTGGAGTCAAGGATATTTTTAATATGTTTTAAAGCAAAAAAAAAAAATTGAAACAATGCTGTTAAACCACATTGCACTTTGGTTTCACTCATGGAAATGAGAAGGCTAAAACAATTGTTCTTTGCTTCAATTTATCTTTTTCCCCATTTCACCATGCGGAATCAGAATAAGCAGAGTAAGAGGAAGCCTCCAAAGATTATTTAATCAATCCATCTGCATCACAATGATCTTAGCACCCTGAAAAACTTCAAGCCTACTGCTAAAATTCTTTTGTGAGGGAGATACCACTCCATCCTGGAATACACTCCTTTGTAATATCTTATTTTTCCAATCAAATCACAATGTAAACCAGAAACCTTTTCCATCTCTGCAAAATCCCATGGTGTCCATTCCACATCTGATTTATTTATTCACATGGATTGTGCTCTCAAGGCCATTGGAGCTACATAGTTCATTAAGGCTCTACTCACATGCTGGTATTTCAGGAACCAGTGCCTCAAACGAAGCATCTAAGCTAGCAGGAAAGGTTTGGAAATCTAAAAGAGTGAGTAAGACAGAGAGTTAGCTTTTTTAAGGCAAGGCGTGGGAGGTGTTTTCGTTCTTTAGCTATTAAAAACTCCTTGCTTTGACAAGAAAAAAAAAAGGGGGGGAGGAAGAGAAAACTGGGAGGGGAAGGATTAATGAATAAAGAGGCAGCATGGCAAGCAATGCAGTAAGCATGGTGGCCAGAAGGCACGAGTGAGTTTCTCAGGCTGGGTTCACTGACAGAGCAAGGGTGCTGGAAAGTAGAGATCAGAGGGGTCACAGTCTAATATGATGTCTGAAGAGAAAAATGAGACCAGCTTTCATTACAGGGCTGAGCAGAGGGGTTTTGTTACAGTGGGTGCTTTGAAAGCAATCGTGCTAGATATTACAATTGCACCTTTTATCTTTCTGGATATCCTGATAATTATCCAGGATTGAGGGCATCTCCTTTTTTTCCTCAGATTTGATGAGGATTTGGGATTCCTTTCCATTCCTTTATGGCATTTTGGAGCTGTGGCTTCACAGACAGTCCTGCAGTCAAACCCAATCTCCATGGCCGTGCACGCTGTGGTGGGCAGCACGCCGTACACCAGGGAGGAGGCAGGTCAGCACTGGGCAGCAGTGACACCAGTGTGGGGCCCTGGCCCCGTGCCTTGGAGGCCCAGTGGGAGCAGGGAATGCCAGGATCAGATGGTGTCACTGCCATGGGCACGGGGTGGATGCAGCACATGTATGCTGTGCCAGGGGAGTTTCGGGGCACCTAGGCTTCCCTACAAGTCCTGAGGGCAAGGAGTGCCCCAGTGGTTAAAAACAAAAACATCAAATATTTTGGAGACAGCCAGCAGAGAAATTGGGCGTCTCTTCTTCTGTTTTTTTTTTTTTTTTTTTTTTTTTTTTTTCTTGAAAGAGTGAAACATTGCATTTTTTTTTTTTTTTTTTTTTTTGATTGCCTTTCTTTGGGTTAGGTTTTTGTTTTGTTTTGTTTTGTCTCTCCTCCCCTCTCCACACCTCCCTGTTTCCTCATAGCCAGGATTCTGCATGCCCAGAAGATAACCCCAGCTCCATGCAAGGGCCAAGGACATCAGTTCCCAAGGGTGACCCAGCCATGGAAAGCAGGTGCCAGGCACAGTGACAGTACCCTGGCCCAAGGGAGGCCAGAACAAGGTGACCCTGCAGACACTGCCAGGGGCCTTTGTGCACGTACATTACAACCTGGGTCTTAAACCATGTGCTATTTTTCCGTCAGGCTCACAGTTAAAAAAAAAAAAAAGATAAACAGCAGTCCTTCCTAGCCCCCATTATTTTTTTCCGAGCTGTAATATCTCAAAAAACCATTACTTAGCTAACTTTGCAGGGGCCTTTGCCACAGATGACAAAAGATCTGTTTCTGACAGAAAAAGTGTGATTTATTTTAATGCAAGACATTGCTCAAAATCTGGTTTGTTGTTTTTTTTTTTTTTTAAGAAAAAGTAATTAGGAGTTTTAAAATGTGGATAAAACAGAGTATTCCCCTGCCAGCCTTGTTCTCAAGAAATAGCAAAGTGGTCATGACTGAAATTAAAAACAAAACCAAAAAGAGCCCTATAAAACTACTGAAGGAGACATGAGCTAGATGATGTTGGTTTCAAGTCTGGCAAAGGCAAAAGCAGCCAAGGCCAGACCTTGTGATGGAGTGTGTCAAGTGACTCTTACAAGAAAGAGGCAACACAACCAGCAATGTCTGCTGTGCTCTGTGCACCCATTAACAGGCTAATCTCAATGTTAGTCTCTTCCAGGGAGCCAAGGACTATTATTGCTTAGCTTTACAACTAAGCATTAAGCATTGTGGCTAAACAGCTTGACTGAACAAGAATTATTTGCCATCACCTGAACGAGGTAAGCATGAAGGCAGGAGAACCCAGCTAGCATGTTACCACAGGCAGAACTTGAAGAAATTAGGTCAGGCAGAAGGGAAAGAAGACTTCAGAAACCTCTTCCAAACAGTAAAAAGTAGTCCTCTGTGGTACAGCTTCTCATGGGTAGCAAAGGATGCAGGCTGGATAATGCACTGGAAAATGTACTGCAGGCAAGAATCCTGCAGGAATTGGGCTAGGCTAGAATGTAAAATAATGGACTGGATGAGCTAGCAAGATTTTCCAATCTCTAATTTCCATGGTTAAAAAAATTGCCACAGTTAGCATTGCTTGAAATTCTTTCTCATGAGTTACAGAATCTCTGAGTGAGGCAGAATATGAGGCTGGAGCAAGAGAGGTGGGTGTGTTTCCTGGATGACACAAAGGAGGAAAAAAAGAAGTCTTCAGCCTGGAATAGGCTATGAAACTAGGAGACTGGCTGGAGAGAAAAGGAGGGAACACAGCCCGGAGGGACTGCTCCCACCAGGCTGAAACATGGGTCAGATACACTGAGGACACCACGGTGAAGATTTGGGGGCTGGGTCAGTGGTAAAGAGGGTGGCTCTGAGGGAGCAGTGGCACTGCCTAAGCATGCTCATGGTCAGTCCTCATCTCTGGGTAAGAAGTGGGAAGGCTCAGCTCCTGCTCTCTGCATGACTCTCCAATATTAGTTTCCACCAGCAGAGTTTTCAATTATCAGAACATTTTGATTAGCAGCTTCTCTCCCACTCTCCTCGTCATTAAAACCCAAATTTTCTGTTTTGCTTTAGTTTGAACTCAGATTTCAGAAGGCTGGATTAAAACAAGGGATTGAAGATCTGGTCTTTCACTCCAATCCAGTGCTGGAAAATAAATATCCTCAATTACTCCCATCAGTCATGAAGCCTCACACACAGCTTGACCCTGCAATCCTGACTTTCAACATCCCTAGCATTTCAGTCCATGACTGGATGCAGTCTCAGGTCAGGCACACCCCTTCCAAAGCAAGTGACTGGCCTGTGCTAGGGCCCTTTACCAGGGCTGCTAAATCTGTGTTTGTTGCAATCCTGAGGATGCCCTCGGGCTCTGCTAAGGGACACCTAAGTCCAGCCTTATTGAGCATTTCCCAATCAGCCCTAGGAGAGTTCAGTCAATCCTACTGTACCGCATTTATTATTCCAGCCTTGGAACACCTCCAGGGCTAACACAGCAGACCAGGAAAACAGCTCCCTCTGCAATCATCATGCTCCAGGTTTGGTACAAAGGTGACGTGGGAAGTACAATATTGCTACGACTCCAAATGAAACCATTCCTGACCTTACTGGTGTTTCTCTCCACCCACAGTCTGTTACAGACCTTAAATGTGTGCTTCATGGCTCTGTTGGAGCAGATCTGCTGTTCCCCTCTCTTCATAGATTAAAAAGCATTTTTTAATCATTAATCGAAAATTAAAATCTCTAGTGAACTTCCCCACAGACCTTCTTAGCCATTTTTACAGCTTGCTCAAACTGCACTGAAGATCTAGAGACTCTTGTTTCAAAAGCTCTTCTGAGGTCCTCAAGAAGCTTTGAGATCCTCTAGAGCAGAAGAGCTACTGATGTCTTTTCATTGTTGCTAAATAAAACCTGTGGGTCGCAGATCAAATCTGGTAAGGTACAGGTTGTCCCAGACAGCACCAATT